AAGAGGCACTTGCTCATCATAACTATGTACTTAGTTGGTTTATTTAATATACCGGTACTCAAGAGCAGAGAAGAAGATTTTCAAAGAAATAATACATTTTCACTTTATAATCTATATACTAGTAGCCCTGCCCTAGCACTAAAACCCCGACCCCAGGGCCATGAATTTTACAATTTTGGTAGAGGACTCAATGCTCTTTACATTCATGCCAACAGTTTGACTTCTTAATGTCCAGGAGTAAAGAAGATTTTTAAAGATTGCATTAATTTTAGTGCTTTTTGACCCACCCCTCAGGTCCAGGGGGCGGGGACCATAAAATTCAAAATTTTTGTTCCCCTTCACCCATAGATGCTGCATACCAAACTTGGTTGAAATAGGTTCCATGGTTTCAGAGAAGAAGCTGAAAATGTTCAAATTTTAACACACGATGTACGACGGACAAAACTGATAGCAACAGTCTAAAAATCTAAGAGTTCCTATTCTTTTGAAAACTGCTGCCTTTCCCCCACACTTTACTCTTGCTTCTCTCTGGCACTTGAACATTTAAACTTGTAAAAATTCTAATATCACTGATGTTTACAATGTTTAATTTGTTTTTTAACTGCACATTATATCAATACTTTGTATAAACTACCACCAGAGGATATGATTATTATACAATTTGTAACTGAAGTTAGCCAAATGTACATACAGGCAAGTATAGCAATACATTAAGTCAGATACTGTCCAATACAGAGCAATAATTTTAACATGAAATCTCTTTGCACAACAAAATGATTTATCTGTGTACTTTGGTAAAACTTTACCAGTTCTTTGGTCAAATTTTAAATGGTCCCAGTAACAAATTGGTGGATGGCCACTGGGGCACCGGAATCGAATCCGACAATATCCATCATGCATGGATCCTCTGGATCAGCAATAGTAAACCCGTTACTGGCCATACCACACACAATCAGGCGAGCATCCTTTATCCCAGAAATATGGCGGTAATTCTTCAGTGCTTTTGATGGATGTACGGAGCCGTAGTTGGTTTCTGAATCTGTGTACACCACAAAAACGTCATACAACTTCTTATTTTGGATGGCATCAACGATTGGGGCAGAGCAGTCGGTATGTGCAAATCTCAGCCTGGAGCATTTCTCTAACACTGCAGTGAGGTTATCCTGTGGTGAAATTGCCAATTTGGTTAAAGAATTCCCGCCACCAGAGAATGCAACCACGTCATAGTTCTGTTCCGTTCGGACGGTTACCATCATCATGGCTGCTGCAGCATCTCTGGCTGTTATGATGGGGGTACCCATCACTGGAACATTCATGGAACCACTCACATCCACTGCCAATAGAAACCGCTTGCCTGTTGGCTTAAGGCATTTAAAAGAGAGATAAAAAGCCTCTTGCAATGCATCTACAACTCTGCGATTTACTGGCCATTCAAGCTTTCCAAGCTCACCTTTCCCCTTGGCGTATGCTTTTATGGCCACTAGGACAGTAAATGGATGGATCCTGGCTCCTTTTAGCAGTTGCTCATTCTTAAGTTTTTCAGTTGTGATTTGTTCCCCAAAGCTGTCAGATTCTAGAAGACCAAGACTGGACATTTTTCCAAGATTTCGAATCATGGCTGTCATTGGCATGTGCCTCATCAGAGCCCCCCACACTTCCTTAGACTTCAACAGCCCTGTAGGCACATGCTCTCGAGCCAGGTGATGCTCCAAAATCATACGCTTCATCAGTTCTTCATTGGTGCATTTCTGTGCATCCTCAAACACTTTTAGAAGGTCAATGACTTTCTTCAACTCAGACTGTTGGAAGCCTTCGTCTCTCATTGCCCAGCTATTTTTCCATTGGCTCTCAGTGGCAGCCTTCCCTCGACAAATGTAGCTGACCAAATACCCCAGGGCATCATCGATGGTCTTGATGTGACAAAGTCGGAAGACATCCTGATGGCTGAAACCAAACCTGGCCTTGTACTTGGTCACATGATGGGCTAGCATCAGAATTCCCTCATTCTTCTGTTTGTAGTTTTGGTACCAAGTGGACACTCCCTTTCGGTGGGCTCTTCCCCATCCTTTCCCATAAGGATTTATTTCTTGGCAAAACTTAATGAACTGGAATAAGTGTGTTGGAATTCGACAGACATCTGACAGAATCTTGTAGCCTGCTTCTTTGGTGGTGGGGTCATTGGAACGACAGCTCAATGCCAAGGCAAACATGATGGGATTTGCTTTGCATGCTTTGTTCTCCACACTGAATTCTCGAATTGTCTCCACCACTTTCAATCCATTACCATTGTTGATCATCCTAAAAAAAATCACATAATGTATAATATCAAAATTTCCCCAATTTGAAGCTAATAAATTAATTTAAAGGATCTGCTGAATTTCAGTAATGTTTTAGTTTTTACAACCAAGTCCCTACAATTATTGAGCACAAGGTCTTCAGACAAAATATGAGCAAAATCTGGTATAAACTATATCTGTTCTATAGAGTCTCCCACTTGGCGCAGTGGTTAGAGCGTTTGTCAATCTGTCCGATTAAAATCAGATCCTTTGATTTGCTTACATAAAGATCGCTACACAACGCACTTGTGTGGCGACCTTTATGTGAGCGGATCAAATATAAGGATCTGATTGAAACGTTTGCTCTAGAGTTCGATCAGTCGTGAAGTAAGGACTTGATTATTGCGTCGTGGGTTCGAATCCCATGACTATAGACTGGGACGTAGAGACTGGTCATTCAGATGAGACTGTATAAACTGAGGTCCCGTGTTGCAGAAGGTGCTGGCACGAAAAAGATCCCTCACAGCTCAATGACCCTGAGTGTCGAGTATAAGACACAAAAGCAGCTCTCCATCAAGTGATTGCATCTCCAATATGAGTGAGAAATTCTCAGAAGGGATGTTAAACACCATACAATCAGTCATCTCTTTAGAGAATGAACAGGCTTTTGCTGACACCCTGGATGTCACATGGATCATGTACTCGGCCGAGGGGACAGGAATCTGCAGAGGTGAGCCGAATACCTGGATGTAGGCAAAACCCTGTCCACTTCTCTAAACAGAATAACTATATATACCTGATTTTGCTCGGATTGTCTCAAAACCCTTTGATATCGAGATCATTTTATTACATAGGCCTATATCATTTATATGTTGAATTTATTTTATTTCATAAATAGGTTCATCACACAGGCGCTTGTTTCATACAGTACGCTAGTTTTCTACTATATAATAATATTAGAAGAAAACTAGCGTACTGTATGAAACAAGCGCCTGTGGTTCATCAACTGTTCATACCTGACGATGGATTCTGCGTTTTCCCTGGTCAGATCTTTTTCACCAGTGTAGTAGGTTCCCCCATCCGTCCCAATACACAGGAACCGACGCAGGCGGGTCTCGTAGTCAGTCTTGAAAACATATCCCTCCGTATTATTCACTGTCTGATATGGCGCCAACTTCCCCGAGACGGGAACCTCGGGGCCCTCGGGCATAGAAAGCCCCGCCCACTCATCCTCCTCAATCTCCATAACTTCATCATCACTCATATTTGCGGACCCAGGACTTACAGAGGGATAAACCCAAACCTTTCAGTCCCTAGTCAAAAATGAAGATGGTAATCGCAAAGTGAAACTGGAAATACCCTAACCTATTTATAGCACTATCTTTACAGGGAACTATGGAACGTCGTGCGATCAATAAATATTGATAAAGAAAAGTTGTGCGGTGGATTTCTGTTGTTGTTATGTCTTTTTTTCCCTCCTTAAATCACACATATATTTATTCCTAATTATCATGATCATTTTCTATCTTTTATTGTATTTCTATTGTGTAAATAGTAAAGGGGGGTCTCAACTTTTCTAATCATTATTCCCCAAACAAAAATTAATCACTGCAATATAATCATACATGATTGGTTTATTTTATGTATTTAATTTGGTTAAATTTAACATTATACTTAAAACTTTTTTCAGGATACCAAAGAATAATGTAATAATATTGATAGTAATGTAATTGAATGGGGGACATACAGATTTTTTTAATGAAATAGGGCTTCCATATTTTTTTTTAAATAAAAATCCCCTTTTACAAAAATATACTTTTAAATTATCATAATGCTCTAAAATTAATGACATGTAATGGCTACCAGTACATACTGCAGGAAGAAAAGCTATTTGCAACTTTATGATTTACAGTAAACTGAATTTATACATCTATGTATCACTACTAGATTAACTGTTTTATATATCATAAAGAATGTAAAATATTCATATAGTAAAAGTACAGGGAGGGTGAAAAGGTATTACATTAAAATTATACACTTTTTACAATAAAAACTATTCTTTAAATAATACATTCAGCAAATATGACACTTAAAACCCCTGTATGATCAACTTGTTTTCACATTGAAGGGATTGTCATCCTTGGCTAGCTGAGAAATCCTGTAATCAAGAAATCTCATTTTTCATTCTTTACTGACAGATAGGTTTTATTTCTCTGACCTCCTATCTTAATATAATTATTATTAGAAAACAAAAGATTAAAATTTACAATTTAATTTCAGTTAAATAAATTGTTAAACATTTAATTCATATTCATCACATCAAGACTGAAATACTTTCAGATAAAACATTCACATACATGTATTTGTATAGAATGTCTACTTCACTGTCCCACCACAGTGGCCTGTAACATACTGTATTTGATTTTACGTAATCACTATATGTATACAAAAAGAGATCCTTTTTTGTATACATATAGTGATTACGTAAAATCAAAAACAGTATGTTACCGGCCCCTGTGTGTCCCACCTACAATTTCATTTACATTGTTGAACAGTCCATATACTAGTATCCTGATTTAGGAATTGAGGAATTTACAATAATATGGCACAGATGAATAAATGTAAAAGGATACATTCTTGGAGGAAAATGAAATAACAAACTACATATTGTACATGTAATAAGATATCTGGGCACAACAAGTCATTTACATTCAAGAAATGTAAGAAGAAAAACAACAAGCAAATTGTTCAAATTCATTAACAGTTCAAATGATTAAGAAACATAGGTAATCAGAGATTACAGAGCTCACCTCAACGAATGTTGTCTTTAAGTAAGGCAAAGTCACACAATTTGAACCAACAAAAAGTATACATTCCAAAAATGAAAATATTTTTAAAAGCAATTTTGATCTGATACTTTGAAATAGACCTACATAAAAAATTTAAACTACTTCTTCTTCATGAAAATGTAATGAAAATCCAGCATCTGAAGCAAGATTGAGAGTTTTCATCTCTTGATGCATCATTTGTGCAAGTTTGGTTTATACAATGTTAAATAAGCCTTATAGTTTTTGGTAATAGGCCTGCAACCATAAGGCCTAGAAAAAAAATATGTTTGTTTCCGCTTTCCCGACCGACCCTAATTTATAGTGCCGACCCTAAATATTTTTTTTCATGCTTTTGTCCCATGATGTGCAAGATTTCAACCAGGGAATTATAGCCTCCAACTTTGCAAGCTTTTCAAGACAGAAAGAAGTTTAGGTCACCTTTCCATTATAAGTTAAGTCACAGTAATGCTTGAAAACACCATTTCTTTTGTCATTAATGTTACTTCTACACACGTTTTGATTAAAGAAGCAAAAAAATTTTTTTTCAAAAAAAAAAATTTGCCTACCTACCTACCCTATATTTTTTCAGCCTGAAAGCGGAAACAAACATATTTTTTTTCTAGGCCTAACTTTTACCTTGTCTATTATCTGAAAAATGTATGTCTAATTCAGCATCCGAAGCAAGTCCATTAGTGTGCATCCTTAGATGTATCATCCATGCAAGTTTGCTCATTATAGGGCTCATAGTTTATTGGAAATGAAACATGCATCAAAACTAACATTTTCAATCATCCACAAAAAGTAGGTCAGATTCAGCATCCGAAGCAAGCCTGGAAGTATGCGTCCTTAGATGTATCATCTATGCAAGACTGGTCATTAAAGAACTCATAGTTCCTTGGAAATGAAACCTGCACCAAAAACTTTTAACTATTCACTCAACCGGAAAATGTAGGTCAGATTCAGCATCCGAAGCAAGCCCGGTAGTATGCATCCTTAGATGTATCATCCATGCAAGTTTGGTCAACATAGGGCTTATAGTTACTTTGAAATGAAACCTACACCAAAAACTTTAACCTGTTCACTCAACCGGAAAATGTAGGTCAGATTCAGCATCCGAAGCAAGCCCGGTAGTATGCATCCTTAGATGTATCATCCATGCAAGTTTGGTCAACATAGGGCTTATAGTTACTTGGAAATGAAACCTACACCAAAAACTTTAACCTGTTCACTCAACCGGAAAATGTAGGTCAGATTCAGCATCCGAAGCAAGCCCGGTAGTATGCATCCTTAGATGTATCATCCATGCAAGTTTGGTCAACATAGGGCTTATAGTTACTTGGAAATGAAACCTGCACCAAAAATGTTAACCTGTTCACTCAACCGGAAAATGTAGGTCAGATTCAGCATCCGAAGCAAGCCCGGTAGTATGCATCCTTAGATGTATCATCCATGCAAGTTTGGTCAACATAGGGCTTATAGTTACTTGGAAATGAAACCTACACCAAAAACTTTAACCTGTTCACTCAACCGGAAAATGTAGGTCAGATTCAGCATCCGAAGCAAGCCCGGTAGTATGCATCCTTAGATGTATCATCCATGCAAGTTTGGTCACTATAGGGCTTATAGTTACTTGGAAATGAAACCTGCACCAAAAATGTTAACCTGTTCACTCAACCGGAAAATGTAGGTCAGATTCAGCATCCGAAGCAAGCCCGGTATATGCATCCTTAGATGTATCATCCATGCAAGTTTGGTCAACATAGGGCTTATAGTTACTTGGAAATGAAACCTACACCAAAAACTTTAGCCTGTTCACTCATATCAGATTCAGCATCCGAAGCAAGCCCGGTAGTATGCATCCTTAGATGTATCATCCATGCAAGTTTGGTCAACATAGGGCTTATAGTTACTTGGAAATGAAACCCACACCAAAAACTGCACCAAAAATGTTAACCTGCTCCAAAAACATTAACCTGGTCATTCCTTTGCTGAAATTGCAGCATCTGAAACTTTGACTGGTACAATGAAACACACTAGAAACATCTTCCATGCATGTCTAATCAATACAGGACATAGAAGTACTTAAAAAGAAAACTGCTCAAAAAAACTTAACCTTAACCCGGGACGCCGACACCGACGCCGACGGTATTACATAAGCTCCCCCAACTTCGTTGAGGTGAGCTAAAAAATTATTATACAAAAATTCTAAGCAAATTCTGAAATTTGATGCAGTTATACTAACAAAAAAATACAGTCCTTTAACTGGCGCAATCGTAAAAAGAAAAGAAAATGTTAATCACTGTTTAAAAAAATAAAAAAAGTTTTAAACTTTTACACAATAAATTAATCTCAACTCAAGGAATACACTGATCTAACATAGATACAAGATAGTATGTCACTAATAAGGCACGACATCAACTTGGAAGTGCTTTCAGATCTGGCTGTACAAACCTGTAACAGAAAAATAAAATAAATTCAGGATTGGAAAATAAACACTTACTATGGAGTCTAATCGAACATCTTACTTTTGAAACCTCAAAAATTGATTCATGAATCACAAGTGGAAAATTTTTGTCAATTAAAGCAAAAGACAGGGATGATAACTTTCCATCCAATTTAATGATACTTATCAATTTCTGCATAATTACATATAATTATTAACTGCTCAGATTTCATGGTTTCAATGAGAAATACAGGTTTGTGGGGATTTGATTTCAGGAATGAAGAATAGTTGTAATGATTGTGAAAAATTACATTGTGAACATAAATTTGTGGGACCCTTCATATTTTTAGATAAATGAAGAATGAAGAATATTAATTTGTAATAATTGTGAAAAATTACATTTCCATCTGGACATAAATTTGTGGTAGCTTGCCTATTTTAAAATAAATGAAGAATGAAAAATCCTGTAAAAATTGTGAAAAATTACATTTCCTTGAGGGCATAAATTTGTGGGACCCTTCAAAAATAAATTTGAAATCACCTCCCCAAGACAAGAGGCATAACTCTGTCAAAAATTGCTTGATCTACCCAAAACAAAACTTGACTTAGATATTCTTATGATAAATCTGTATACTGAATTTCATCTAAGTATGTGAAACCTCTGCAAAGAAAATGAACAGAAATTGTTGGTGTACCGAACAATCTACCAACCAACTGATAGCAGCAAAGCAAAATGCACTCCCTTCTTGGTGATATAATAAAATTTTAAAAAAGTAGTTATCTATGTATTAACTGACACTTACTGATGTCTGGCTGTGTCAGAGTACAGATGTTTATGGGAGTAGTACTGTGCTATAACTGTCTTGTCAAAGAGGTAAGGGTTTCTTTCTACAAACTCCTCAAAAGAGTTTACTCCAGGGGACTGCTTGATGGCATGCGCTACCTCCGCAATGTAGAACATGGTTATTGTTTCGTGGTATCCAAACTTAACCTTCAATGTAAATTTGATATTTACCAGTGTATATTGACAATTTCATTAGACATTAACTGCTTTTGGTGATATCTATACTTGTCAAATGAATTATTTTAGCATCAAACATTCAAAAATATACTATGAGTAAATCATTAAAGTTTCTATATTTATTATTTGACTTAATTTTCATGGTGATTCAACATGCTTGTATGTATCATTAACAATAAAAATTTAAGTTAAAAACTATGGGAGTCTTAGAAGGAACTGGTACACTTTTTAGTTTAAAATATATTTTTTATTCATATATAGAAATGGATTGAACAGCAGGCATAAATGCCTACGATCGTTCTCTCCATAGGTCAAGGTACAATTACAAGTACATGTAAACATTGAAAAAATGTATGAAGAGTAGATTATCAATTGGTACATATTTAGAATTTATTCACTGAGAGAGAGAGAGATATAGAGAGTACACTTTTTAACAAAGAGGAAATGGTGGATCATTGGTAAATATTTCTCCATTAAATGTGATTTTACCTTTTCTTTGTTTTGTTCATTAAAATGCTGAATTCCTTGTCTGGAAGTAAAATACATGTATTAAAACATAGGTAATCAGAGATTACAGAGCTCACCTCAACGAATGTTGTCTTTAAGTAAGGCAAAGTCACACAATTAACCAACAAAAAGTATACATTTCAAAAATGAAAATATTTTTAAAAGCAATTTTGATCTGATACTTTGAAATAGACCTACATAAAAAATTTAAACTACTTCTTCTTCATGAAAATGTAATGAAAATCCAGCATCTGAAGCAAATTTGAGAGTTTTCATCTCTTGATGCATCATTTGTGCAAGTTTGGTTTATACAATGTTATATAAGCCTTACAGTTTTTGGTAATAGACCTGCAACCATAACTTTTACCTTGTCTATCATCTGAAAAATGTACGTCTAATTCAGCATCCGAAGCAAGTCCATTAGTGTGCATCCTTAGATGTATCATCCATGCAAGTTTCCTCATTATAGGGCTCATAGTTTATTGGAAATGAAACATGCATCAAAACTAACATTTTCACTCATCCACAAAAAGTAGGTCAGATTCAGCATCCGAAGCAAGCCTGGAAGTATGCGTCCTTAGATGTATCATCTGTGCAAGACTGGTCATTAAAGAACTCATAGTTCCTTGGAAATGAAACTTGCACCAAAAACTTTTAACTATTCACTCAACCGGAAAATGTAGGTCAGATTCAGCATCCGAAGCAAGCCTGGTAGTGTGCATCCTTAGATGTATCATCCATGCAAGTTTGGTCAACATAGGGCTTAAAGTTACTTGCAAATGAAACCTGCACCAAAAACATTAACCTGTTCGCTCAACTGGAAAATGTAGGTCAGATTCAGCATCCGAAGCAAGCCCGGTAGTATGCATCCTTAGATGTATCATCCATGCAAGTTTGGTCAACATAGGGCTTATAGTTACTTGGAAATGAAACCTGCACCAAAAACTTTAACCTGTTCGCTCAACTGGAAAATGTAGGTCAGATTCAGCATCCGAAGCAAGCCCGGTAGTATGCATCCTTAGATGTATCATCCATGCAAGATTGGTCAACATAGGGCTTATAGTTACTTGGAAATGAAACCTGCACCAAAAACTTTAACCTGTTCACTCAACTGGAAAATGTAGGTCAGATTCAGCATCCGAAGCAAGCCCGGTAGTATGCATCCTTAGGTGTATCATCCATGCAAGTTTGGTCAACATAGGGCTTATAGTTACTTGGAAATGAAACCTGCACCAAAAACTTTAACCTGTTCACTCAACTGGAAAATGTAGGTCAGATTCAGCATCCGAAGCAAGCCCCGTAGTATGCATCCTTAGATGTATCATCCATGCAAGTTTGGTCAACATAGGTCTTATAGTTACTTGGAAATGAAACCTGCACCAAAAACTTTAACCTGTTCACTCAACCGGAAAATGTAGGTCAGATTCAGCATCCGAAGCAAGCCCGGTAGTATGCATCCTTAGATGTATCATCCATGCAAGTTTGGTCAACATAGGGCTTATAGTTACTTGGAAATGAAACCTGCACCAAAAATGTTAACCTGTTCACTCAACCGGAAAATGTAGGTCAGATTCAGCATCCGAAGCAAGCCCGGTAGTATGCATCCTTAGATGTATCATCCATGCAAGTTTGGTCAACATAGGGCTTATAGTTACTTGGAAATGAAACCTACACCGAAAACTTTAACCTGTTCACTCAACCGGAAAATGTAGGTCAGATTCAGCATCCGAAGCAAGCCCGGTAGTATGCATCCTTAGATGTATCATCCATGCAAGTTTGGTCAACATAGGGCTTATAGTTACTTGGAAATGAAACCCACACCAAAAACTGCACCAAAAATGTTAACCTGCTCCAAAAACATTAACCTGGTAATTTCTTTGCTGAAATTGCAGCATCTGAAACTTTGTCTGGTACAATAAAACACACTAAAACCATCTTCCATGCATGTCTAATCACTATAGGACACAGAAGTAATTAAAAAGAAAACTGCTCCAAAAAACTTAACCTTAACCTGGGACGCCGACGCCGACACCGACGCCGAGGGTATCACATAAGCTCCCCCGAACTTCGTTGAGGTGAGCTAAAAATTATTTCTCAGCTGACATTGAAATATGAAGTTCAAGACACTCATATACAAATACATGTACTCTAACAATATTCAGTTTAAAAGAAAAAGTTAAAAACATTCAAAAAATTTACTGTAAAACAATTTTTTTTTCATGACAACTTTATCTCATGATGATTTATTGTGGGTAAACTAGTTCACGATGATTTATTTTCACGATCAAGCTTATTTTGGATCTGTTTTTAATGGACACAGATACTTTAACGACCTGTTCACAGCGAGAAATGTTCGGGATGACGAGGCTCTCTCAAATCTCACGAAAATTTCTTGCAAGCAAATAAAAGTTGGTATACAGTATTTTTATACTGGACAAAGTCCTCATACCTTATGTGTGGAGTGGCTGCCTCTTTGCCATATTCTGTGATGTAATTCCAGGCCATCCTCAAATGTGCCTCATGAGTCCAATCCTCATATGGCAAGGTGGCATCCTCAAATGCTTGGATAAATATTTCATCTCCTACAGATCTAAAGGATCTACAAGTAACACAATGACAAAATAGATGCACATTGATAGATATTACCCAATTTAAAAATAACATTTAAAAAAAAATTTTTTTTTTTAAATTGCAAGAAAAAAATCATCTTATTTATTCATTAAAAAAGATTTCTTTAGAAAAAGTAAATAAATTACAATGTATCAAGATTTCTTGCAAATGTAACATTCCAAAGAACATGCATATACATTTAAATATTTGTGTATAACCAGTAGCTTTAAAAAGACAGACTAATATACTTTTATGTACCAGAGACATCAGACACAAGTCACAAATTCTGCTTTATTTCTTACCTTATATAATACAGGAGAGGGTTGTCCTCTGACTCGTTAATTTCGGCATTGACCACGCCCCCATACCACACATGGTGGTCCCCTACAGTGTGTACTGAATGGGCACGACACTCCATCACTGCAGCACAGTCAGAAATTATAGGGACACCCTGTAGAAAACATGCCAAATATTCATCAATTTAGTAAAACACAGTATTTCTTCCTTTTTACATTTAAATTATGATAAATCAAATAATACCTATTATGATAAAAGAACTCATAAAATATTGATGTGAATGAATCAATGAATAAGCTGTCAAGTATAATGTAAATGTTACTGCTATAACAATCTGAAGCAGCTCTGTGACTCTGGTGTTTGGCAACCTGCTTCAGGAAGTCTTTTAAAAAGCTAGGACTTTGTGTCCATTTACAGACACTGTGTCTGTCTGGACAGCAGGGGTTGCCGTGACTGAAGAACATTGGTTGCCATTACTAGAAAGGTCCATACACTCGAAGAGAACTCATGCTAAGCTTCGGGTTGAAGCTTCCCTAAGCTGGGGGAAGTGTAGCAGACAGTATATAAGGAACTACTTATACTGCCTCGCTAGTGAGCTAGCTTTCCCAGTCATGCATTAGAGTCTCCCTCTATTTCAGGCAAGTTAAGCAATGGTGAGCCTGTTAAACCCTTGGATTGGTGGCTACTTATTACATCAGATCTAGAAGAATTTCCTTTGTGAAAATTTTACATACGGTAGTACACTTACATCATTTGTCTGGGCATGTGGAATTTCTTTGAACTGACAATCTTCTGTTTCAACATGTTTTGCAAAGTCTACTCCATATTTTACCTTACAACAAACAAAACAATACACAATTATACATGTAAATATTTTTTTCAAATACAATTTTCATTAAATTATACATGTAAAGTAGTTGGAGGAAACAAGCAATATAATCATACATGTATATACTTCTATAAATATTTGTATATAGTTATAATTAAGTTAACATCATTAAATGGTATTAATTATTAACATTGATAAAGTAAGGCTAAATTACTAGGGCAGGACTAGAATATTACACAGTCTTAAAGACACACTACATTATCACTTATCAGATCTTTAAACTTATAGGTGTATTAATAACACATATACATTTTTTAACAAGTATCAATATTCTCACCTGATTTTGCTTTAGCACATGGATGGCAAATTTTTGAGTTCTTAGCAGCAACTCATGCATGTGACTACAATGAAAAGGAATTTGTTTTTAAATTGATTTAATTGACTATTTAACTATTCCTCAAAATGAAACCCTATCATTTCATTATAAGCATAATTCACTATAAGTGTGTTTTACTATTTTTACAATTCCGCAACCTGAAGTCCAATCAAAAAGCTATAGCATTTCTTTAACAGAACATGGAATACCTTGGATTGTTGATACAGAAGGACACAATTGGAGGGTGGTAGGAGACATTGGTAAATGATGTACAAGTCATTCCTCTCTTTGACCAGCGATCTCTCAGTATGTCATACTCTCCTGAAGTCACAACCACCACTGAATAGGAATAGAAATGGGACAAGGTCTTCAATTATTTCATTCATTCCTATTTTATTTACATTGTTGCTGTGAAATGCACTGATGATGTATGTAATATTACACTTAGTGACTAATTACCACACTGAGGGACTTTTCCCATTATCTTCTTGTAGTTTTCTGCTGCATGCTGGTCTTCTGATGAATTGATCTTTGAGGATACTGTAATCATGACATATGTAACTTCATATTAATACATAAATGATATATGCATGATTATGAACATTATGAAAAAAATAACAAGCTGAGATAGCAATAAAACATAGCACATTTTCTAAATCATTTAAGAAATATTAGAATCATCATAAGGAGCACATGGTTGGTATTAAACTGTATAAACCGAGTTCCCTTGTCGCAGAAGATGCATGACACAACTGATCGATCGCGAGATCCTGGTCTCATTGCTGAAAGACCCTATGTATTGAATACAGGTCCATAAATTTGCAGTTATCTACTGGTAATTAATTAAGTTGTAGCATATCAATATGAGTGAAAATTTCTCACAAGGACATTCAACAACAAAAAAAAAAAATATAAGATTTGAAGTTCTCACCTGAGGATACACCTCTGGAAACTCCACATCTGCAGCACCTCTCTGTCCAACCTCTCAATATTCCTTGGTCTGTCAATCCCAAACTCCTCCCAAGACTTGATAATAGTCTTATATGTTTCATTTTTCTATCAGTGGATAAAAGATTGCTGTTAAATAGCAGTATAATATTGAAAATTTTCTCTAGTTTCAAACTAAGTTTGTTTCACACTAAGGAAATTCGGGCGTGTTTTTTTTAAATTATGTGTCAACTTCATTAAATTCATATGTAATATAAATGTGTATTAATTACTACAAAAATACGAGTGATTTAAATTATATACTTACTAAATAGCTGCGTGAAGTAGGCAAGTAAATTGAACTGTTGCATAATTCTTCCCCGAGGAGTATCTCGATCCCGATGAAAATGCAGTAAATGAAAACGGGCAGGCAGCTAGGCCTAGAAGCTATTGCTTGCATATAAGCATGATTAGAACGCAGCATTTGAAGCAACTATGTCATATTAATATATTACATATCATTTTTTTTATTTACATTGTATAATTATGATTAAATTACCGGAAAAGGCGCGGGTGGTTATTTGACTTTTAACTAAATTACGTCACAAATGCTTGACATCATAATTAAGCGATTGCTTGCGTCACAAAAGAATGACGTAAAGATCAGAGAAACAAAGTAACCAAGCATTTATCAATACTATTTTGGAATCTTGTCTTCTTTCGCAAACATGCCTACAGCAAGCCAAGCAATGATAGTTATGAACGGTGAAGGAGAGGATCCAAGAATTCCACGAAGGAGATACAATGGGGAGACAGGCGCATTCTCTGTTGCAAATTACGACATGGAACTGGCGCTCCGATTAAAGAACATCGGATTCTTAAATCAAGGAATTTCAGGTACCGGATTTTCGGACCAAATTCCAGGAAAATTTACAAAGATGAAAGGACTTTCCACAAATATGGGTACATATGATCCAGTAAGAAAGGTATATCGATGGGAGGTGTCTAATGCACACACAGAAAGACGGCCGCAAATGAGAAGTAGTGACACAAACACAACGGAAAATATTGTATGGTTTCCGAAAAGAGAGAACATGGATAAACGTCAGGACTTTGCAGGAAATAAATTGCCAAAACTCGGTGGAAAGTCTGGTAGCACTCCAAATGTAACATTAGAGGATTTGGGATTTCGAAAAAGAAAAACTGTTCCAAAAACTCCTGCACATCCTAAGATTGGAACATCTCTTGCATCACTTGGAACAAAGTTCGTTCTGTCTCCTAATGAACGCCACACAGTAACCATAGAAAGTGTTTACGAAAAGCCCGAGCAAGAAACACGAGTTGGAGATTCTAGCTTGGAAAACCCAGTGACAGAGACAACGTGAGTTATACAAATCAATTGATGCCTCTTTTAATATAAAACATAATTAAGAAAATAAATTGGTATAACCATGCATCACAGATTAGAAGAATTTGCACTAAACTTGAGACTGTTCTTACACATCTGAATTAACCCCCTGGAAACCAACTTTTTCAAAAGATAACTTAAGACCGCGGAACATTAACTGGCAAAATGGAAATATACAGCTTACGTCATTTCTATCTGTTACAATCAAAACATTCAGTGATAAACAATGAAATGGGCGGGTACAATTCGACGCGGACGTGGGGAAAACATCGGATTGAAATGGCAGATCGAAATTCATTTTCAATCCACCTGAGCTGTTTTCAAAGCAAAGAGTGAATGCATGATCTAAAAATCAACTAATTTCACCTCCCAAATACATATTGTTTGAAGTTCACATTAAGGTGTTTCCACCCTCACAATTTTATAGGTTCAAAGTACAAAAACTGCATTTATTTTCATTTGATATACTTTAAACTTTCCAATTATTGCAAAAAATGTGTAGGTCACCATATTATTTAAGATGCGAAACATAAATAAACAGAAGTGTATGTCAACATAAAAAAATCGCACATTTTTTGTAAACAGTATTATGAAAAATATGTAAACTGGTTGAAATGCATAATTCTGATGCTGAGTGTTCCTAAATACTTACTACTTAAAAGATACTTTTGAATTGTGAATATCAGGGAAACTATATTTTACAATAAAGTAAATGCATGAATGAAGGGACCTTAGAAGGAGTTATTGCCCTTGTCAACATTTCTTAAAGATTGAATAATTGATTAAATATAGAAAATATGCATTTTTTAAATTCTTTAACTTAGCAATTTTTATCATTACATCTATTGTAAAGCATTCTTCCAAGAGATATTGTTCTATTAGGTATGAATTTAAACTAATTACAGTTTTTGCAAAAACCTATGACATCATAGGAGGGTGGAATTACCTTAATATGAGTTTTAGCTTATAATTTTAAGAACGCAAAAAATCATAGAAGACAAAGATTATTTTTCAGTAGATATTTGATTCTAGAAGGGGGGGGGGGGGGGGTAAAAATTGTCGAGTCAGGTCATGGCTTAACATGACAATATATTTTATTTCTAGGATTATAAGAGTGCACGAGTTTTATACTTATTCTCACTGAAAACTGTTGGACAACTTTATTAAAAAATCGTTCAGCCCCCCCCCCCCCCCCCCAACACAAAGATATTTATATATTTACCAAACAGAAATGAAATATTTGTCCCTTTAATATGGTTAACGCTAGATGGTAGAGACTAGAAGTAGTCGAACATGAGTTATCGTTCATATAATGAAGTTTCGTTCATAAAATGCGCACTACATCACTAGAGATCCAATTTAAAAGAAAAAGAGTCAGTCTACAGAAAATCATCCAATAAATTAAGAACAAACCTTATTTGAAAATGCTTGATGAGAGCCGTTCTTAAATTGAAGTTATGGTATAAAAATGTATTTACAAAAGTTCTCAGAGATATCACCGTGAAATAAATGTTTCACACACACAACATGTAAGAATTAACGACCTTGACCTCTGACCTCAAAATAAAAAGGGGTCTTCCTTATGCCATATAGGGAATTGTGGTATGAATTTTATTTCAATGCAAAAACTTAAAGGCTTCTTGAGATATCGCGCGGAAACGAAAGTGTTAGAACGGAGAGATTTTATTAACAAGACATATACAGCACAAAATCAAATATTTCTCAGGTCATAGGTAGCTGTTTTGTAAAACTTCGTTGCAAAAGCTTCTTTATGTATTTACGTTTCTGTTTCCTGCCTTTAATATCGAACGATCTATTGTGGTATGTAAAAATCAATACAATTGCCAACTAAATAATTATTAAAATAAACATTTTGTAAAGTTGTTTTCAACATTGAATTAACGCAATATTTCATCAATGATGATAATTATATTTTGGAAATCTATCGCTTTTATTGTAAAAGGAAAAAAAACACAAAAATGTCAATATTTAAATATTATATATGGAAAAATTTTTCAATGGGATTTCACAATTGAAGCATCAGAATTTCCATTCAATAGTTCATAAAGTGCATATTAAAATACAACATAAGAGAATCTCTAACTTTTTCTTGCAGACCAAAATCTCAAAAGCTTTCATTACTGGAAGATGTAAAACGGACAGTGAAATACGACAGCCGAGTCCAACCTGCGATGTACATGCGCAAAAACCGTCCACCCCCAAATCCGTTCGCCGTTTGTTTCAGCTTCCGGGAGAACGATGATTACACTCACATCGATGTCAGAGATATCCTGGAAACTCAGCTTGGGCTCAAAGTCCGCTCCGTACAGTATGATCCTTTGTCGATCCGCTCATCGGATCCGGATGTGGGAACAAGGTGGATCGTTACGTACGCTACTCCGGCGGAGTGCGAGTTTGTAGCCAGCAAAGGAGTTGAAGTGAATGGGGATAAAATAGCTATAAAACTTCTAGATGACGTCATTAATTGTGAATGTGAGGCATACGCTTTGTGGAGAGAGGATGAGAGACAGAAAAGGATTGCCGAGGGGAACCGAATGATTCGAAAAGAGAGAAAAAGAAAGAGGAGGCCAAAGGACTGAATAATTTCCATACATGCCTTATTTCAAGAAATGATGTTTTTGGATGATTTTTTGATATACAATTTTTAGCAATTCTTTGTAAAACTGCCAATAGTAATTTAAAATTGTGTACCTATATGCGAGTTACACAGGGGAGTATATATAAAGTTATATACATACATTGATATTCTTTTGTGCTTTTCTTTTTGGTATGAATTTCCTTATATATGCAAATTTTACTTTACCCACAACGATGAACATATCAGAAAGCAATATGATTGGACACCATAAATTGAAGTCTATTAAACAAATGCATATGGATGAAGAAAAAAAAGTTTTTAATCAGTATTGAAAACCCATGCAGTGGACTTTTAATGTTGCAATCTAGTTGAAGTGGATCAAAGATCGATTTTTTAAATAATTAAATTTGTTCAAGAATACTTCTAAGTTTGTACTAAACCAAGCTGATTTTGGAAAGGTAAAAAAGACTGAGAGAGTATACTTTGTGAAAAAAAATTATAAGGCCCACTTACAAAGCCTTTGATCTAGTGTATCTCTCTCCAGGAAATATTTACTGGGATAAATTTTATTTTAGAAATAAAGTTTTTTTTAAAGTGTTCAACCATCTATGAGAAAATTGATTCCAGGTAGCCCAACAAAGCATTGTAGTTTTCTAGATCTGTACATCAAAACTTCCCCCCGGTCTTTAAAATCAGGTAGTATGTCGCATACAAATACTTCTTTCTTGTTACCCCTGTTGCATTGACATCACCAAGATACGTTGACACTGCACATCCTGAGTCATCAATTATTATTCTCATGAACTGAATGTTATTCAATTCATGGAAATGTTAACTCCAAACGAAAAAAAAATGCTGAAAAAAATTTGTATGTTTATTCATTGTGATGTTCAACCTCCTTAATATACGTATGTACCCCTCTCTTATTTTCCCCCTGAATCATCTATGTTTTCTACATTGTATATGTACCCCTGACCAGATAACGCGAATGCAAATTGTTATAGTTAGCTTTAAATTCTCTGAATTCTAAAACTTAAATGTAACAAAAGAATATTATACATTTATTGGCTGAGTTCGAGGGCAACATGCGTTTTGTCGGATCCAAGAACCAAACTGTCTGCCTGAGGCCGAAGGCAGACAGTTTTGTTCGAGGGTCGACAAAACGCATTTTGCGAGAGAAATTAGTCAATAAATGTTTTCTTATGCCATTCATTTTCTTTTTCGTTTTTGACATACATGTATTTTGTGGTGTCTTCAGTGATTGTAATCACAGGTCCGTCACTATTGAAGACTAACGAATGAAAATGAGATTAATTAAGTTCCGCCAATTCTGAGGTAACCGGTCCAACATCTCACTCAGCGGTCAAACATCGATTTCTTAAGCCCACTCAGCAATACATTAGATATGTTGGACTTTTTTCGTAATATAGATTTGAATAGGAACAATTTTTTTAAAATAGGTATAACAAATGTTTATTCTTGCACAAATCTATACTTAATCTATATCATATTTGATCAGGCAGATCTGTGCATCTTTTAAATGGGGAATGCTGAAAAAAAAATAAAAAAAATAAAAAGGTAATAAAAACAGTTTTAAAAAATAATTCACAAGTTAAACGTGGACATCATTCAGCAAGACCCTCAGATCATCCATATGTATGTTGTCTTTGCCAACATCATACATCTTTCTTGCATCTACGTACAACATCTTTGTACGTAAAAACATCTTTCTTGCATCTACTAGAGTAATTAAAGTGATACTTGATAGACCAAATTGAATACTAGTACCCTATTGAGCTATCCAGCAAGCTATTAAAAAACTTGACCGGTATTTTTGTAATCTGCTGGTAAAAGCAGGCGATACATACATTCCTTTGAACACTCTAGTTAATTAGAGCGTAACTGCACAGGACGTTGGCGTTGTTTTGAATATCATTTAAATTCTAGTATCGAAAGTAGTTACACTTTCCACATTAGAGATGTCTTTAGGAGAAAATGCATTCAAAACTTGGAGAAATCGTTTTAATGGTCGTTTGGCTTGGAAGTGAAGTCACTTATGCTCAACAAAACTTTCTACTTGTGGATTCCTGTCCTCAGAACAAAACAGAATGGGAAACTAGACGAGAAAACAAGAATTGTAAGCATCCACCCGATTATCACTGTGCTGCCATAGAATCAACACAGAAGTTTGGAGAAATCTGTGCTCTTTCTGCCTTGATTTTACCTGGGTATTGTCCTGTATTTAATGCTGTATCCAACCATCTCGACCTCAAAAATTGTACTTCAGATGAAGAATGTCCAAAGGATTCATATCGATCGGACGAAATTTACAAATATCCTTTTTGTTTTTTAATATTTAAGCCTCGTAGTGGGCCAAATACTCCAGATAAAGAGGCTGGTATGAGGAGGAGTGCTATTATTATTGTTGTTACTGTAGTTCTTTTAACAGTTACAGCTGTATGTGCAGTGGTTATATATTATATAAGAAAAAGAAACTGTACCAGAAGAGAGATGTCTGAAAGGATTTTCGGAAGAATTCAGAGTATAACAACTGAGGATATGGATAAACTAATAGAGCAAAACACCATAGTGTGAGGTGGTTAGATTTCTCCTTTGTAAAGGAAACACAGACCAATAGTAAAATGGTAATTCTTGTATCTGAAAAAAGGGCTCGAAGAAAGAAACATTGAAGAAAATTGACTTTCCAAAAAAAAAAAAGAGAGAGACTTGTCTTACCCCTCACAACAAAATACAAACAAAATTGGGTTTTTCAGGTATGAACCCTTTTTCTTTCATTGCTTGTTTATCTATACATTTAATTTACCGGTATTTGGCCTGGAATATTCGTCCCCTCTTTTTGAAATTTGACTATGGGGGTTTACTTTCATAATTTACACCTTCAAAATATAATAACCTTGATGGTATTGTTGAAATTATTTTCCTGACAATTATCCTCTGCAGTGGTTCCCAGAACTCCGCCATTATAATTCCATGGTTATCTCGAATCATCGGATATATCGAAGTTTGGTTCCTTCTTTTTCAAAATAACAAAGGTTTACTGTATCTTTTTCATAATCACTGCAAGACTGTTCAAGTAAATAAAAAAAAAGAAATGTGATTTAGCATAGTGTACTTGTGCAGACATGTTGAAATCGGTCCGGATCGAAACTTTAGGAGAAGTGGTCTGAAGTAACATTTTTTTTACACTATGTAACAAGTAATTGTATCTTAAAAAGTTTGTCAAAGTAATAAATATCAATATATTTATATGTAGATATAGTACATAAAATCATTCTGCCAAATAATAAGATGAAAGCGCTTCATTTAGCCTTAACCAATTGACTGGAGTATTCAATTAGGATTCTATGTTGTACTATTTAATGGTTCTTTTTTTTTTAAATCTGTACACGTTTGATGTAAACATGGTAAAGTAGAGTAAAATCATGATCCTAATTAATAAAGAGTCATTTGTTTTATAAACATGTTATGAGCATTTGTTTTCTATACATTTTAATGTAAAAACATTTATATAGTATGTCTAATTTCTTAATATGTTGTTAAAATATAATTCATTTTCTTGCAATGTTGTTGCAAAGGCTGTGAATGTTGTTGAAAATATGCTTGACACAACCATTAACATTATTTCATCAATGATGATAATTATATTTTGCAAATCCGTCGCTTTATTTTTGTTACAGGAACAAAAGCACAAAAATGTAAATATTAAAATATTACACTTAGTATATGGCAAAGCTTTTCAATGGGATTTCACAATTGAAGCATCAGAATTTCCATTCAAAAGTCCACAAAGTGCATATCAAAATACAGTATAAGAGAATCTCTAACTTTTTCTTGCAGACCAAAACCTCAAAAGCTTTCATTACTGGAAGATGTAAAACGGACAATGAAATACGACAGCCGAGTCCAACCAGCGATGTACATGCGCAAAAACCGTCCACCCCCGAATCCGTTCGCCGTCTGTTTCAGTTTCTGGGAGAACGATAATTACACCCTCACATGTCCGAGACATCCTAGAAACTCAGCTCGGGTTCAAAGTCCGCTCCCTCCAGTATGATCCTTTGTCGATCCGCTCATCGGATCCGGATGTAAGAACAAGGTGGATCGTGACGTACGCTACTCCGACGGAGTGTGAGTTTGTAGCCAGCAAAGATTGATTGATGTATATTGTTTAACGTCCCTCTCGAGAATTTTTCACTCATATGGAGACGCCACCACTTGCCGGTGGAGGGCTACAAATTTTGTCCTATGCTCGGCACTGAGGGCCTTTGAGCAGTGAGGGATCTTTTTCGTGCCAACACCTACTGCGACACGGGGCCTCGGTTTATACGGTCTCATCCGAAGGACCGGTAGCCAGCAAAGGAGTGGAGGTGAACGGGGATAAAATAGCTATAAAACGTCATTAATTGTGAATGTGAGGCATACGCTTTGTTCAGAGAGGATGAGAGACAGTTCAGGATTGCCGAGGGGAACCGAATGATTCGAAAAGAGAGGAAAAGGAAGAGAAGGCCAAAGGATTGAATAAATTCCATACATGCCTAATTTAAAGATATGGTGTTTTTTTGGATGATTTTCTGACATATAAATTTTAGCAAGTTTTTGTGAAACTGCCAATAGTAATTGAATATTGTGTACCTTTATGTGATTTTCTCAGGAAAGGATATTTATTTAAAATGATATATAAAGTTTTACTACATTGAAATTCTTTTGTGCTTTTCTATTTGATATGAATTATTAATCTCCTTTCAATGCAAATTTTACTTTCCACAACCTTATTAGAAAGCAATAAGATTAGCGACCATAAATGAAAGTCTGTTAAACAAATGGATGACGAAGAAATTTATTTTCAATAATTGACAAGCATGTATATGCTTGGAATTTTATGCTGCAATCTAGTTGAGGTGAATCAAAGATAGAATTTTAATTAGATTTGTTCAAAAATACTTTGATCATAATTCTAAGTTTGCAGTAAGCCAAGGTTATTTTGGAAAGATCAAGAAGACTCCAAGAGTGTACTTTGTGAAAAAAGAATACGTACAGGGCCTTTGATCTAGCGTCTCTCTTCCCAGAAAATATTTACTGGGATAAAGTTTATTTTAGAATTTTTTTAAAGTACCCAACCATCTATGGGAAAATTGATGTCAGGTAGAAAATCGAATCACCATTTTTTCTGTACAGCAAAACTTCCTCTCGGTCCTAAAAATCAGATAGTATGTTTAGCATGTTTATACTTCTTTCTTACTATCCCTCTTGCCTTGGGACATCACCAGGATACATTAATTGGCACTTTGCACACCATGAGTCATTAATTATTATTTTAACGTACCGAATGTTAATAAATTCATCGAAATGTCAATCTGAAACGAAAAAATGCTGAAAAAAACTTTACATAAATATTCAAAGAATTTGTGCTGAGGTATGTCCTCCTTGATACACTCCCTCTCTTATCCCCCTAAATCATTTATGTTTTTTGTATTGTATATGTACCTCTGACCAGATATTTATAAAATACTTCATGTATATTTTGAAATGCACATTTACCCCATGTTCCAATAATTTTGGTCTGCATGGGTGAAATAAACGAAACTGAACTGAGTCACAGAAGGTATATGTACTACCGGGTATTCAGACTTTTTGCATTAAAATGCATGATAATACAATCATGTCAAGAACATTTTCATTTTTTAAATGCTATATATTAAAAGAATATAAACATTTTTTTGCAAATAGAGTAATTTAATTTCGTTTGTATTCTGGCCTCTCATTTGTTTACGAGGGCTGTTCAATGAATAATGTCCTGAACTGTATGACATACAATACATATATCATATGACATTAAGCTTGACTTTCTCTCATTATTGAATCTTTAATGAATTATAACAGTTTATGTGACCACTTTTAATCACATAGTTTCATTGTTAGAAGCTGGAAAACAAGGGCTATTCGACTATTATACACTGCATTATAAATGAATGGCAAAGAATCCGTAAACAAGAGTGAAAATAAAAGCTTCATTAAAACTGCTGCAAAACTTGTTAAAAATCCCAAAGAAATATTCACTGAAATATGTGACATTTAGAGCAACCAATGCCTATTTTATAGACAAATGAGCAGGTGGATTTCAATCAGGATAAATAACTACCGGAACATCATGGGCATCAAAAATGATTACCGTCCTTGCCACCAAAAAATTATAACAACTCATGTACTGTTTGCCAAATTTCAACAAATACCGGGGGTAATATTTGATGACGTATGATTGATTTTAAGACACATAGCAAATTTGATAGACATCATTTCGGGAGTAGTTTACACTGTTTTTAAGAAACGTTTGACGGTAAAAAAGCTTAGTACTCAAAGGTCACCCCATATTATGAAAAATGAGTGAAAACGACAGCGTGTACGAATGTCTTAACAGTTATTTTAAAATATCAGTAATTGTAGTTATCCACGTTTGTTTGATATTCAAGCAGATAATGGAAATTGAATCTATTGCTTAAAACCATCCAAGCAAAACTTACCAAAGATGTACTTGATAAAAACAGCGAAGGTCTGACAAGAGCAAAGAATCGCAAAAGCACAAAGACAGATTTATATGCAATTTTCTTAAATATTAGTGGTATTGTTGTTCAAATTCGTTTTCGGGGAGACAGTTGAATTTCTGGAGGAGTCTAAAGAGCAAATTTTTTGCTAAAAAGTCGAAAGCTTTATTAGAGGAAGGACCCACAATCAGGAATCCACTACATTAAATTTATTCATAACAGCGTCCAAAACCGCACGCCCTGAAGAGTAAAAGGGTTTTCGGGATAAACAGAAAGTTAATGTTTTTTCACATTAACAATATTCACCAGATCTTTGACCTTTTGACTTGTTTCTATTTCCAAACTTGAAAAAACACCTTCCAGAAGGAAAAACATGTCCAGGAAATCATTGGATCTGCCATTTTCCACCAAAAATGAGTTCTAAAAACAATCAGAAATTGGATAAATTGGTTATGGACATGTGTTTTAATTAAAAAAAAGATTAATAAGTTAAAACATGAAGACTAAATCATTGAAAAGCGCCTTTTGTTTCTTTCCGAGCACCGAGAACAGCCCTCGTATATCCAAAAGGAAGGCGAATTATTTCTGTCTAACCTGTTTTGGTATGGGGACATACCGCCTTGACATCCAGCTGAATAATAGAACTGTATCTACACAATCCTCTCATTTCCAATCCTCGGGTTTCATGGAAAATTCCATGAGGAATACTGTTAAAAGAAATAAAACAGGAAATAAAGTCGTTTTAGAAACACAATTTATATATGTTAAACGTGGATCATTCAGCACGACACTCAAATCATCCATATGAATGTTGTCTTTGCGAACATCATACATGTGGTTGCATCTTCTAAAGTAACTTCCGTTATCCGACGTTTGATTATTGTGTCCCCTGCAGAGCGGAGCAGCACTTGAGGCATTTTACCTGGAATCTGTCTGTCTGTCTGTCCAACACCTTATATCTTTGAATATCTCGAGATCTTTAAGAGATATGGGTTTGATGTTTTGCACATATGTACCTTGGCATTATGGCTTTTGTGTTTTACGATGGCTTTTGACCTAGTTGTCCGTGAACGCGACCTTTGACCTACTTTTTTGAAATAGCTGACAGTGCCGATATACAACTTCTCTTTGTCACTTTTAGAGGTAAGCCTATGCTATTTAGAACGTTTAAAATATTTTAAAAAATACCAGCATTAGAATCCACTTGACCCTGACCTTTGAGCTACTTTGCAAGATATACAACAGAGGGTTAAATTTAAGTGATGTCTCTTTAATTTAGAGAGGCAGGGGTTTGATAATTATCATTTATACCTGTTTATGAGCTCATTACAATTTACTTTGAATCTTTGACACTAAATACAGTAACCACATAAATTAAAATTTAAGTACATAACTACATATACATGTTCTATGAAAAAAAACATCGAATCGGTATTAAAATATGGATGCTGTGCAGACTGATAATATAATTGCAGTGAAGGCAGACTGAAGTCTCTCTGGAAGAATCATGTACACTAAATATTTATAATAATTTAAATTTCATTAATATCCATAATATATTGTATTTCTTATTCTAATCGCAGTCTTACCATCCGTAGATTTTCTTTTGCATGGACTATTAAAGGCACCTGAAGTATGGATAATACCCCTTTTTTTTAATGAAAAAAATGTAAGAGTGTATAATATCTCAAAAATATAAAACTTCCCTATATGTCGTTATATGCAAGCAGATTGTACTTTTTCTCACGTTTAAAAAATGGCCCTATTCGGTATGATAAAAATACACAAGGTAAGAAACAAAAGTTGTAAACAAACGGGGGACCCCTGCTTCGAGACAGATTACCGAGGTAATAATTAGTGTTACCTATCATAATTTTGCAAGCACCCTGTCTGGGAGATGTTCTTTTACTGGTCTCTTTAACCTCAACCCCGCTATTAGCATTTGATATGCCGTAATCGGACGATTTATTAATCGGATACATAAAATTTTCTCCATTGGCAGCTTTGGAGGAGGTTTTGGAGTCGCACTTCTGTTTCGCCTTATCTGATTTTAGGTTAGATATTTAAACTGTATTACAATTAACCAATCAGATAACATGGATAGTGCGATTCTAAAACCTCCTCCAAGGCTTGGAACACTCTAGTTATTTAAAGCATTTACTGCACAGTTCGTAGGAGTTGTTTTTTTAATGTTGTGTATTCCAGAAACCTAAAGTAGGTTATTCCACATTTAAAAAAATGTCTTCAGAGAAAATGCATTTAAAACTTGGAGATTTTGTTATAATGGTCGTTTGGGTTGGAAGTGAAATCACTTATGCTCAACAAAACTTTCTACTTGTGGATTCCTGTCCTCAGAACAAAACAGAATGGGAAACTAGACGTGAAAACAAGAGTTGTAAGGATCCCCTCGATTACCATTGTGCAGCCATAGAATCAACGCAGGCGTTAGGAGAAATCTGTGCTCGTCCTGCTTTGACGTATCCAGGAGACTGTCCTGTACTTAATGCCGTATCCCACAATCTTAACTACAGGAATTGTACTTCTGAGGAAGAATGTCCAAAGGACTCCTATCGATCGGACGAAATTTACAGATATCCTTTTTGTTTTTCAATATTTAAGCCTCATAATTTGCCAGATACTCAAGATAACAAAGGTGGTTTGGGGAGGAGTGCTATTATTATTATTGTTGTCAGTGTAGTTCTTTTAACTGTTACAGCTGTATGTGCGGTGGTTATATATTTTATAAGAAAAAGAAACTGTACCAGAAGAGAGAACGCTCAAGAGTTTAATTTTGAAGCTTTACTTAAGAGAATAGAAGAAAGGGAAGCAGATGCCATGTTTACGCCGATACATTAAGGTTGTTAGATTTCTACTTTGTAAAGTATAAAAACGGGACCCCTCTCAATCCTTAGGGGACACAGACCAATAGTAAAATGATAATTCCGGATTTATGAGTCTGAAGAACAATGGTTCAAAGAAAGTAGCTTTGAAAAAAATTGACTTGCAGAAAATAAAAATGACTTTTTTAACAAACGCACAAGAAATTGGGTTTTCAGGTATGAACCCTTTTTTCATTGCTTGCCGAAATTATAAATTATATTATTATATATCATTTATAATATACGAGGGCTGTCCGAAAAATATTGAGACACTTTGTATATTTTGCTTTTTAATGAACGTCAAAAGTTTGGGTACCCGGAGCAGTCGCGAAATCAGATACTGTAAATCACTTTTTATTCGCGAGAACTTTATTTTCGCGTAATTACGCGAGATAGCGTGCTCGCGAAAATTAAATTCTCGCGTATAATAGTATTCCTTAAGATTATATAGAGCAATAACCACAATTCGTGAAAATTTTGTCTCGCTAATCAAGAGTCAATGACTATCTCGCGAAAATAAGGTGTCGCGAAAATATTAACCCATATTCAAGCAACGTCAAGGAATATGGGATTTTATCTCAGTGATACATGTGCATTGCCCATTTTAGATTGAGTATGTGCTTCGCGGAATAATCCGGGTTGTGCATACCAGTTTTTTTTTGTTAGAAATGCCACAGTGACTATCTATACTTGGTACGTGACGTAATTTCCTCCTTTCTAAGTAAGCAGACGAGCACATGGGTAGGTTGGTTCAGGCGATACAATCATTTCAATTTTGGGTCGATATTTTAAAAAAAAAAAAATGTGCATTTGCGAAATTTACCCAGTGCACAATATTTAGCCCATTTGGGGCCGCCACTTTTGTTGTTATTGTTGGGGAGACGACCCGGCGGCCGCTCCCAAATTTGTCATATGTCACCGCGACCAGATACGCCAAACTTCAAATAAATCCTATCAAACTAATATTAAGCGTTATTTTATATATAACATCTGAGATAAAGTGATCTACAGTATTGAAAACCTTCTATGAAAATGGATTTTGACGTCAAGGACGAGGCAGCCAGCATACCTGAAAACAAGATAATGTGTTAAGGTTTGTTATTTGATTGGAATACATTTTTTTTTACAATTAATTCTACCAGAGTAAAATCAAAAGATCCGGACGACCATCAGTTACTGTATTAGTATTACGAAAGGTATTAATATCGTTCACCCGCGTTGCATAAATCGGCACTGCATGATTCTAAGTCACCCTTTCCCACAAATGAAAATTTTACACTAGGGTAGCAACAGTATACATTTTTAAAGAATAGTTTAGGAAAAGATACTTATGATTTTTAGTAATACTATATGTAATAACAAAGAAGGAAAAGTATTAAACGCTTCCCGATCGTTTTACATGCGAAACCATTCCTGACTGACGTGACGTTAATGACGTAGCGATGCTGCTCCGGGTCGATAGACATATGCATATCTATAATTTCACCGAAACCTTTTTTAGTATCATAGGAATTTGAAATTCTGCATTAGAGCTTTATTCGTTCTTGTTGATGAATTTTCATGAAATTATCTCCATCCTTTATAGAGTAAATGTAATTGTCTCAATAATTTCCGAACAGCCGTCGTATATATAATTTAATTGATATCAATTGCATAAAATATTATTAATTCAGTTGGCCTGGAATTCCCGTCCTCTTGATTTTTGCCTATGGGGGTTATACTTTCATATTCTACACCTTCAAAATTTCATAATCTTGATGATGTTGCTTAAATTATTTTTTAGACAATAACCCTCTGCAGTGGTTCCCAGAACTCCACCTTTATAATTTCATGATTATCTCAATTCATCGAATACCTCGAAGTTTGGTCCCATCATAACCTGTGCAAGACTGTTTAAGGAAATAAAAAGATGTGTGTTTTACTTGTTCATACTTATTGAAATCGGATAAAAACTGTAATAGTGGTCTGAAGTAACAATTTTGATTCTACACTATGTAACAAGTAATATCTTTCAAAAAGTCTGTCTATAAACCAATTAATATACATGTATAATTGTTTATAAGTAAATGCAGTATACATAAAATCATAATCTGCAAAAGAATTAGATGAAAGTCTTAGTGCTACACTGTAAATGTTGCCTCAACCAGTACTACTTTGCTAGTTGATGTGAGAAACTATGGTGTCACAAAAACATTTATACCTATATACTGAATTTTTAATCGTTAATTTTTTGTTAATATCCTCTAAGTGCGTATGTAAGTACATTTTATGGTCGATTATTTCAGGATGTCACACGATGAAACCGTTAGGAATGACGAAGATTCCTTGGGTAATACAATTAATTGCCAATTCCACAAAGTAATTTTATTTTATTTTCCCCCAGTCTATCAACATTGCTTTATGCCTGCAAAAATAAGCATTGAATCAATATTTTTGACATGCATTAATAGATGCCAAAGAAGTATTTGCTGAAAAATTTTCTTGAATAGTGTTCGATTTGGATTCTGATTTGAACAAGTGAATGATTCTTTTTCTAAATCTGTACAAATATAATGTAAAGTGGAGTAAAATCATGATCTAATTACCGTAATAAAAAGTCGTTTGTTTAATGGCATATTTATGCATTATTATTACTAATAAAAATTGCAATCATGCTTGTTTTAAGCTCTACTGGTCAGAGACCAGAAGAGCTTATGCAATAGTAATGCGTCCGGCGTCCGTCCGCCTGTCTGTCTGTCTGTCCGTCTGTCTGTAAACAATTTTTCAAAACGCTACTCCTCCTACAATTTTAGTCTGATTTCAATATTACTTGGCACACAAGTAGACTACACTAAGATACATAGAATAGTACATCGGTTTTTAATTTCGATGAACAGTGTTGCCATGGTTACTAAAAATAGAATTTTCTGTGAAATTCCTTTAAAACTCTACTCCTTCTACAGTTTTGGTCTGATTTCAATATAACTTGGCACACAAGTAGACTACACTAAGATACATAGAATAGTGCATCGGTTTTTGATTTCGATGAACGGTGTTGCATTGTTATTAAAATAGAATTTTCTGTGAAATTCCTTTAAAATGCTACTCCTTCTACAGTTTTTGTCTGATTACAATATAAATTGGCACACAAGTAGACTACACTAAGATACATAGAATAGTGCATCGGTTTTTGATTTCGATGAACGGTGTTGCCATTGTTACTAAAATAGAATTTTCTGTGAAATTCCTTTAAAATGCTACTCCTTCTACAGTTTTTGTCTGATTTCAATATAACTTGGCACACAAGTAGACTACACTAAGATACATAGAATAGTGCAGCGGTATTTGATTTCGATGAACGGTGTTGCCATTGTTACTAAAATAGTATTTTCTGTGAAATTCCTTTAAAATGCTACTCCTTCTACAGTTTTTGTCTGATTTCAATATAACTTGGCACACAAATAGACTACACTAAGATACATAGAATAGTGCATCGGTTTTTGATTTCGATGAACGGTGTTGCCATGGTTACTAAAAATAGAATTTTCTGTGAAATTCCTTTAAAATGCTACTTCTTCTACAGTTTTGGTCTGATTTCAAAATAAGTTAGCACACAAGTAGACTACACTAAGATACATAGAATAGTGCAACGGTTTTTGATTTCGATGAACGGTGTTACCATAGTTACTAAAATAGAATTTTCTGTGAAATTCCTTTAAAACGCTACTCCTTCCACAGTTTTAGTTTGATTTCAAAATAAGTTGGCTTACAAGTAGACCACACAAAAATACATAAAATAGTGCAATGGTTTTTGATGAGTACAAACCAGTAGAGCTACAGTCTCGACAGAGACTTCTGGTTATCAATCATGTTTGTTAACGTAAATATTTTCCAAGTATCAAAAAATAAAAAAACATAAATTGAAAATTGCTTTTTTTTTCTAGATTTTGTATCATTATATCATTATAAAGTCCTAGTATTTGTTATTTCGTTATATGTTTTGCAAAGATATGTTTCATTTGCATGCAGTATTGTTGAAAAGGATATGCATATTCTTAAAATATGCTTTCCATTAACCATTTTAAATATTCTGCCAGGATTATCAAAGAATAATATATACATGCACCTTGTAAGTTTTTACCACTTGTAATTCATAAAAAATATAATACATGTATGTTTAAATTTTACATGCTGAAACATTTTCTTTGGATTTTTTTTTGTTGGTTGCTCAAAAGAACACTCTTAATTTATACAGGAATAATTCAATTCTTGTATGGATATCCGAATAAATATCTGTTTACTTGTTTAACGGCCTTTTGTGAATTTTTCACTTACATTGCGACGGCATCATTTACCGGTGGATGGCTACAAATTTAGACTAAATGAAAATTCGACGAATTTGACAAAAAGAAAGAAAAATTATATATTTCCAAAAGTTTAATTCTAAGTTACTTTAATTGATATATAATTTGAATTTAAATCAAAGACTGAACTGCACTAAAAAAATATAACTAGTGAAACTATATATTTTTTTCAACGTTATTCCCATCCCCTCTGCTGAATAAATGTCGACGCTTAAAAGTGAAAATAATCAGGTTGATATTTAACCATACTTTAACTTAGGAAAGTTGATTCTTAAATTCGAATGTCATGAGCTTTTTTCCCAAAAATGCAACAATTTTTCTATTTTAGAAAATTCTCCTTCGTATTTTCAATTCTTAAAATATCCTTTTTAAGATATCAAAAATAAAAAAAAAATGAAACTGAACATAATCAATACTGTGTATATCTACTGCAGATCTGTGTATTCAAACGATGTCCTATCTGTATATATGTCAGTATCCTGGAAAAAGGTACAGACGTACAATGAAGCGCATTGAAGTGGTAAAATTTTCCGTTTGAATGAAAAGTTCTGAGTCATGTTTTGAACGTCAATTATAACATAATGACACGCCCATATTTTTAGAAACGAGAAAGAAATATTCGTCGTAGTTTTAG